TCACAATCAACGAGTGAAACTGTACTCACAGAATAACAAACTTCTCCCCCCCCTCCCTCACTCCCTCTATCTCTCTCTCTCTCTCTCTCTCTCTCTCTCTCTCTCTCTCTCTCTCTCTCTCTCTCTCTCTCTCTCTCTCTCTCTCTCTCTCTCACCACCATTTGTGATCAAACTCTTACAATGTTAAATTGTTTCAGGCTGCAAAATTATGATGTGGTTTTTGCACGTCTTACATACACTTATCTACCGGGTCCTATTGGTCTGCTGGGTCCTATACATACGGCTTGTCAGGCTCTATACATAAGGTCTAATGGGTCCCATATACCACGGTCTACTGGGTCCTATATACATGGTCTGCTGGCTCTACACACAGCATCCAACCGGACACAAGACGCCAGCAAATTACTCTAGTGCCTTCTTTGTAATTAAAACATTGAGAGGAAAGATTATACCATCTTCAGGATGCTGACAGAATCACTTTTGTGTTCTTTCCACCCAACCCAATTATCAAATTATATTCCAATTGCAGCCTATTTTACCAATTTGCTCCGAATATTTTAAATGTTAGGTATTCTTCAAAAATGTATTTGTTAGTAATTTACAGAGTAAATTAAGAGTAAAGTCTATGAGTTTTTATTGGGCGTGACCGTTTTAGTAATGCGAATTTTTATTTGTCGCGAGTTTTAATTAGTTTCTCCAACCTGTCGTCCAAAAATGTGGATGGAATGCGTACAATATGGTCTCTTACGCCTTAAAAAATGGATAAAGAGGATAGGCCAGAATTTCTCATAAATTGCAGTACAAATTGGGTACAAACTGTCCGTATTTTAATATTAAATATTTGTTTTGTGCTAAAATTAAATGTGAGAGGTGTTATATCAGTGTGTATATATATATATATATATATATATATATATATATATATATATAGTGACCAAACGTTATATTCATCCCCCATCCAACTATCCCCACTTCCCCCTCCATACCCTCTACTCCCTATTAAAAAAAAAAATCCACTGATAAGCGTAAAAATTGAGGCACGATTTTTTTATCCTGATACTTGTTTCTCTGCGTCCATCAGATACTTAATGAGGGCGGACAATTATGCCAGGAATTCAGTACTGGGTTTTTTCTTGCCGAGGTGAGCGAGACTCCAGAGTATTGACCAATGCAGCCTTGAGTGCAGGTGTCGCCGTTCATTCCCTGAAACGCAATTCTCTGTCATTTTCTCACGTTAATTTAAATCGAGGGCAGAGTAGGAGCGTGGCAGACAAAGAGAAGGACAGACAATGAAGGGAGAGAGAGAGAGAGAGAGAGAGAGCAAATATATTTATAGACTGAGAGACATGACAAACTGAGACCGCAAAAGATAGAGAGAACATACTGACATGACTGGGAGAGAAAGACAGAGAGGGCAAATGTAATAGATCCGAGAGAAAGCGACATATTGGAGCAATAGACATGAACCTGATAGACAGAGAAAACCAATATAAATAAAACCGAGGGAAAGCAATACGGTGAACCAATAGACATATATACCCGATAGAAAAAGAGACACATGACTAATAGGCATAAACCTGAAAGAGAAGGAGACCCGAGAGGACAAAAAAAGGACACAGACTGAGAGGAAAAAACAAGACAAAACACAGCTGTGTTCGCTGTCAAGGACAAGAGCCCAAAACCTGACTGGTTTTTTTACCGTTCTCGCGTCAGGAAAAGCAAAAGATATTGACCAAGTTAGGGGCCACCGGAGTCAGCTTTACCCAGAGGTGGAAATTTGCAAGTTGGGGGAAGAGTCACTCATGTATGAAAAACACCGCTCACGGTCCTGTGGTACTTTCTCCTTTTTTGTTTAGTTTCCGGTTAGATTTTAGGGAAAATGATTTAACCGGAAAGAAAAGAAATTTCCACTGAACTGTTTCAAGTATTTTTATGGAATTGTTTTTTTGGGGGGTGTTGTTAGTTGTCCTTTTTGTTATTTTTTGTCGAGTAATTAGAGTTTTGAAAATTATTGGACAGAAATTAATATAGAAATTATATATGGGTGAGAAATTATATATGGGTGATATATAGAAATTAATGGGTGAGTTGTTTAGTACATCATGATGTGACTAGATGTTATTATTGGTAAAACATGGTGTGTATATATATATATATATATATATATATATATATATATATATATATATATATACATACATACATACATACATATATAGGGTGCTTGTTGTCCCTCACAAAACGAATTAATAACTATAACTGAAACAATCTCTATATACTAATTATTTACACTGCGCACTGTGAATATCAGACTGGCCCATCTTAGTGCAATCTGCGCAGTGTGAAGACCAAACAAGACAATGCAGTTTTAAAAGTCTCCACAGAATGAAACCAAAGAGGAGGACAATGCTAGCTCCATCTGCTGTTTAGCGTTTGAATTTTCAGCAGCTATTTTTAATCCTGTATTTTTGCAATCTCCAATTTGTTGTGTCTATTACATTGCTGATATATTCGTATCGATATCGAAAAATACTTATGAAAAATAATAGGAGTTTAATGCGAGGAACGCTAGCCATTAATTGGGAGTTTGGTTCGCAGTTGGGAAGGTTTACCGAGGAATATCTCAAGTTTCATCCTGGCTTTGTTCAATACACTTTGTACACAAGAATCTGGCAGCATATTTACTACGAGAAGGGTCAACGAATAAGAGAGCGAGAGAGAGAGAAAGAAGCAGAGAGGGAGAGAAAGAGAAGTAGGGAGGGAGAGAAAGAGAAGTAGAGAGGGAGAGAAAGAAGCAGAGAGGGAGAAACAGAGAGAAAGAGAAGCAGAGAGAGAGAGAGAGAGAGAGAGAGAGAGAGAGAGAGAGAGAGAGAGAGAGAGAGAGAGAGAGAGAGAGAGAGAGAGAGAGACAGACAGACAGACAGACAGACAGAGAGAATGAAAGAGAAGCAGAGAGAGACAGAGAGAGTGCACATGAAAGCAATATATCCTATCAGTTAAACAAACAGTGATGGAAACAGAGGACCGTTTATAGACACGGGGACAGGCAGACCAACAGGCAGGTGGCAGCCGCCCGTGACACTGTTCTCCTGAGCCTCTCCACCAGGACATCAGGAGGCAGCCTCGCGCTCCACCAATAACCTTCTGTCTCTCTCAATTTTCACATCATCTAGAACTTAAAAAAAATACGATAATTCCAAACTCAAGAGTAAAGACAATTTCATTACCTTTTCTTATGAGCAGAATACGAACAATTGTTGGAAAATTAGTAATATTTTATATTATATATATATATATATATATATATATATATATATATATATATATATATATATATATATATATATATATATATATATATATATATATATATATATATATATATATATATATATATATATATCATCGTTGGGAAATCCAGAATGATGAAGCGCCATGTAAAGATTAAATTCCCCAGCTTCCAATAACAGTGAAATCTCAGTACAAATGAGTGCAGGAGATATCGACCAACGGTGTATAACTAATACTCGACAACGATGATTTATCCTGGAATGTAATAGCTTATAATAAATGTGTTCGGCTTTTGCTTCACCGTTGAGGAAGTTGGCTTTGATGCATCGTCAATGCTTCACTGAGCGGCCGTTCGGAGATCTCTAAATTTGTCGGTTTCCAGGGATGAAATATTTCTTCTGGGGTCGTATTAAATCACGCCCTAACTGGCCCAGCGTCGCCGTAATGACCCCCTCAATGTGTACTAATGAGGTAGAGGTTCCTGGTTTATTATAGTCTATTATATAATTAAAATATATACTTTTTTATTGTCATCTCTGTTTATATAGCTTAAGGATATAGTGATTCTTATATATATATATATATATATATATATATATATATATAATATATATATGATATATATATATATATATATATATATGAATTCCAATATAGTATATATTCCAATATATAGTCAATTCATTCGCATATAGTCCTGGGGACCATTCAGGCTTGTTCGCATATATATATATATATATATATATATATATATATATATATATATATATATATATATATATATATATATATATATGTAGGTGTGGGTGGCAACCAACTGACAGGACGAACCGCGTTGTACACTCACGGTGGGATAACAAACTGTTTGTATTATGGTATATATTAAATGTATTATATATGGGAGGCATTTATGCGTAGCTAGGCTTTGGAAAGGGGTAGGAATAGTTTGGTTTGATGTTGGATTTAAGGCCTATCAACCGTATGAGGGTTATTATGGCCACCATAATAGCGTGCCGACCAACCAGCAAGTATATACTATATGATATATTCAGAGTATAACGTATACACAGTTTATATACACGGAGAAATGGGATATACTCTGTGTACCTATCCCTGACCAAGGTATGGTGTTTTACTTTGATTTAGGGAGGGTCACTGTCCGGGCTGACGGTGAATGACGCGCGTTACAGGTCACAGCTTCGAAGAGCGTCAGCGTGACAAAGTATATTTAAATACAGATTCACGCCAAATGCGATAGTCTATATGTTATAAATACGCAACGTGAACCAGCCGGCCCTTTGTCTCAGGGTTGCAATTGCCACCCTAGAGATATGAGTGGCCCTCCATGTGAGTAACAGGTTGTGGCAGCACCCCTTTGGCTCCTGGGACCTGCTCCTCAGGAGCCACTCTGACTCATCTCTCGCTAGGAATTTAGACAACAGGCGAAAAGGCAATCGATGACGAGCAGTGGGAGTTGGGAGGGAGAGGGAGGGAAGGTTGTAAGAGGGAATGGATAATGGGGGGTTAGAGGGGAGGGAAGAGAGGGCCAGTGGTGAGTGATAGGAAGGGAGGGGGGGACAGAGGGAGGTAGTTCTCTCACCATGGAAGGGGAAACAAAGCGACGGTGATGGCAACACGCTTGCAGACGGTCAGCCTGAGGTCCCCCAGTTATCCTCCGCGTTAGTTTCCCTCCAGCCGTCAGAGAGGAAGGAGGCCGCTGTGGCTCGTTCCTCCTCCTCCTCACTGAGCCACACAATTACTGACTCGCTGTCGGCCTCGACGCTCGCTCGGATAAGTTTCAGTGCAGTGCCTCCGTCTGGGATTAACATGGATATGAGTTTGATAACTATCAGCGGAGTAACTTGACAGTTGGCATGTGTCTCCAGGACCCGAGTAGTAGTGACGTCCGGCCAGCCATGGATAATTACATTAACAAGATGAACTGGAAATACTGGATAATGGAGGTAAGATTAACATGGGTAGGCATTAATGTGTGTATCTCTTAAGGAAAATGATTTCATTAACTAATATGTAATTCTGGGAAGTAATGTATTTTTATTTAAATAAGAAATAACTTTATATGTAAGAGTGCGTTGACAGTCTTGCGAGCGACGGAGGAAGTCTGAGAGGCACGACTAAACATTAGCGCTATGAAAGTCCGAGGTGAGACAGGTAAACACCGCGCGGGACCTCCTTACCTGGTCTGAAACACCGCGCGGGACCTACTCCTCTGGTCTGAAACACCGCACGGGACCACCTCCTCTGGTCTGAAACACCGCACGGGACCACCTCCTCTGGTCTGAAACACCGCGTGGGACCTCCTTGCCTGGTCTGAAACACCGCGCGGGACCACTACCTCTGGTCTGAAACACCGCGCGGGACATCCTCATCTGGTCTGAAACACCGCGCCGAACCTCCTAGCCCGGTCCGAAACCCCGCTAGTGGTGTACAGCCTCTTCCTCTGGTCTGAAACACCGAGCGTGGGACAGGAATTACTCTGTGCATTTAATCTCACCGTGACGACAGTTCAATTATGTTTATGCGGTTCTCTGCACTAATGGAGACACGCTCTGCTGTCTGTTGAAATTGTCAGCGTTGAGGTTCAGTGTGTCTGCTCTTTATTCATATGTACGTGTTTACTTGTATATGTATTATATGTAGCTACATTTTCATCCTCAATTAAACACAGGCATGCACTTGCACGCACGCACGCACATACACACACATACATTGGGGGGCTTGATAGCTGAGTGGACAGCGCTCTGGACTCGTAATCCAAGAGTCCGGGTTCGATCCCGGTGATGGCAGAAACAAAATGGGCAAAGTTTCTTTCACCCTGATGCCCCTGTTACCTAGCAGTAAATAGGTACTTGGGAGTTAGACAGCTGTTACGGGCTGCTTCCTGGGGATGTGTGTGTGGGAGAAAAAAATAGTTAGTAGTTAGTAACAGTTGATTGATTGACAGTTGAGAGGCGGGCTGAAAGAGCAAAGCTCAACCCCCGCAAGCACAACTAGGTGAATACAGCTAGGTGAATACACACACGCACGCACGCATACACACACACACACGCGCTCACCCAGGTGACTGCAAATCATTAGTCGCCAATAAGATTTCGTAATTGCTCTATTAAATCCCTAACACACTGTTCTTGGCGAGTGGCACTTAGTACGGACAAAGCAATTTCCTCCATTAGCAAGACAAGTTATACATCAGAAGGCGACATCCTCAGCTGCATTCAGCGTCAACGAGAATTATTGAAACGCCGAGCCACGGAATTATCGATTGATGGCGCCAGTAGCCTAGCCTAGCGTCAAGTGCGGAATGTGGAATGCTAGTCCCTTATAATCAGCCTGTGCTTGTAAGCTCTTTGTTTTATACAAGCCTGTGCTTGTAGACTGTTTTATACAAGCCTGTGCTTGTAGACTCTTTGTTTTATACAAGCCTGTGCTTGTAAGCTCTTTGTTTTATACAAGCCTGTGCTTGTAGACTCTTTGTTTTATACAAGATATATACCTGTCTCTTCAAGGGTAAAGGAACAGACACTTGAGGCTAACTTTACCCAACTGATAATAGCGCAGGATTTACCCAACAGATAATGGACCAGGATTTACCCAACTGATAATGAACCAGGATTTACCCAACAGATGACGGACCAGGATTTACCCAACAGATAATGGTCCAGGATTTACCCAACAGATAATGAACCAGGATTTACCCAACTGATAATGGACCAGGATTTAGCCAAGCCTGGTCCATCATCAGGTCCTGGACCAATATCAAACGTTGTGTGAAGTCAAACGTCACAGTGAGAAATGTATTGGATAAACTGTAGGTAGGATACACGACAATAAATTTTGAAAGGGAATTTCATGTATTCGTCGGTTACTGTTTAGGCTTTTGAGTTGAATGCATTTTCATTTATTGCATTTGAATGATCTAACATGTTTGACACAATACGTGACAACATTTCATATTTTTGTTAATATATATATTTTTTTGATTTAGCTGGAACAACGCACATTAATATTCATTGCTTGCAGATTTTTTTTTATTACTCAGTCGTCGTCATGTAGGCAGGAAATATATACAAAATTATTTTGCGAACGATTACACTTTTGTATACTTTATTAATCTTTTTTTTTTGTGTATACTTTATTATTCTATCTTGCATCAACGGTATTGATTAAAAATGCAAGGCCTCTCTTGCGCAGCGGACTCGCTGCCGATTGGGTCAGGGTTCGATTCTCTTGCAGGGTGAGATAGGAATGTCTAGATGCGTTTTCTTACACCTGGTGCATCTGTTCACCTAGCAGTATTTATAGCTATCTGGGAGTTAGTTTATTGATGTGGGTTGCATGATGTGGAAGCTGAGTTATTGACTAAGGCCTGAGAGTACTCACTGACCAAGGCCTGAGAGTACTCACTGACCAAGGCCTGAGAGTACTCACTGACCAAGGTCTGAGAGTACTCACTGACCAAGGCCTGAGAGTACTCACTGACCAAGGCCTGAGAGTACTCACTGACCAACATAAGAAACTTCCGGTCAACGACAAGAACAAAACAAATCCGTTCTTATTATTTTTACTACCAGGTGGGCAGAGGCATCAGCTGAAAAGACAAGGTGCCCTGGGATCGAACCTGGGTTGAGAGTCGAGGACCTAGAAAGAGAGCGTATCAATACAAAATACTTGTGGGAGTAAAAAGTCCCATTTGTGCCATATGGTTCAGATCCAAGCGTATGTAAACAAAACAGTGTGTGTCCTCTGGGTGTTATATTGATGAGACAATTGCTGTAGTGAACGACACGGAGGCCCTAAGCACGGCCGCGTAAGGTCCGGGGAGCTGGAAAATAAGCCCCTGGTAAGCCCTAAAATAACTTCACTTTATGCCTTGTTTCCTCACGTTAGCAAAAAAATAATATATATATGTATATATATATTGTAGCTCTCTCATGTTTAAATTACTGTGTGTGTGTGTGTGTGTGTGTGTGTGTGGGGTTGGGGGGTTGGTAAGGGGTAATGGGCTTGGGGAGCCCTTAGGGTAATGGGCGTAAGGTTACCTTGCTTAGGGTAATAGGCATGTGAATATGAGCAGCATCCTCACTGTTGTGTGTGAGAGTAAATACGAACAGGATCCTTGTTGTATTACGACCTTCTGAGGGAATTTCCCCATGTGAGGCAAAATTGTATACATGTCAATAAAGATTCTATAATATCACGTATGTGTGTGGCCTGAAACGAAACATGTTCATCACACAGCATAGCGGTATATAAGTGGTAACTCACTCACTTGCTTCGCCAGCGATTTGGTCTAGGTTCGAATCCTGGCCGGGGAGGATTGTCTGGGCGCCAATCCTAAACTGTTGGCCTCTGTTCACCCAGCAGTAATTGGGTACCTGGTTGCCAACCAATTGGCGGGTCGTGTTCCAGGGCAAACTAGTAGGGTAAGGCTTACCATAAGCTACGAGAAGGGAAAGCTCTCAGCCAGCTAATAGAAATTAGATGTCCGTTCCTCTACATACTCCTCTGTAAAAATAAAATATATAAGCATGTTCATTCATAGCATAACGTGATAATTTTGCATTCCTGAGCATATAGTATCCTATAAACATGTTCATACCCACAGCATAACATATATAAAAATGTTCACACCCACAGCATAACATAAAAATGCTCATACCCACAGCATAACATATATAAAAATGTCCATACCCACAGCATAACATATATAAACATGTCCATCCCCACAGCATAGCCAACACAATACAGACGTAGATCCCACAGCCTGCCACCATCCCCCCCTCCCTCCCCCCGCGCCCGTCATCCAAACATTACCATTCGTTTAAAATCTGTACAATTTACAGCCTCTGGCGTCTCCCCTTTAGTGGCCCAGACTCACAACCGGCGGAGGTTCTTAGGAAGCTCAAGTGTAATACAGTAAATATGAGGAATTTGCATGTCCCCTAACACAAAGTTGGGCCGTAATGATAACTTAGAGGAGGCGTCCCTCACAGCTCGGTACATACCCGCTTAAGCGGTGGAGGGAGGCGGATGTGATTGGTTGCCGGGTGGAGTGGGGGAGAGTATGGAAGCTGAGTGCTTTGTGTATGTTGGAACTGTGCGGCTGTGCTGTTTAAGCTTGATGTTTACTGGTGGGAGATGGTAATATATCTCTGTCTGTCTCTGTCTCTTGTCTGTCTGACTGTCTGTCTGTCTGTCTTTTTAACTATGCTAGGCTTCAAAAGGAAAGTCATTGACGCTCCTTGTGACACTTCAAGAGTTGTAATCTAACTCTTGTTGTTATTTACTAAGAGTTATTATCATACATTAGCTCTTGAAGAGGAAAGAAATAGTACTAAAAATTATGATAATTAACAATAATAATAATACAACCTAATGATATTATAATATTATTGTGTTAATTAGACTGTTACTGATGTATTAACAATCAGCATCAGCATTAATGGCGTGACAAAATATACACATGTGAAATTGAGTTGTATCCATAACTACTGTATTTATAAATTAGTGGAAATGTTTTCAAGTGAAAATGTTCTCTGAAGTGTTCAAGTGTTCAGTGACTGGAGGTATTTTGAGAGGCGACCTGACCGAGAATGACTGACATCTGCAGACTATCTCAAGTTTATCTAGGCCTACCTAAGGTTCCTATGGGTGAGTTGTTTGTTGGTATGTGTATGTGTGTGTGTGTGTGTGTGTGTGTGTGTGTGTGTGTGTGTGTGTGTGTGTGTGTGTGTGTGTGTGTGTGTGTGTGTGTCGAGTGCTAGCTCCTCAGACCCACCTTGCGACCTGACTTCCGTCTCTCCTGTTTTTGATCATATCTACTTTGGAGACTGTTGTGTGAGCTACTGTCGACTCTCCTTATAGCCAATTTAATTTCCTCACATTTTGGAACTAAAATGTTTCTTTCTCTAACATCTCTGTGACTTATCTTTGTCTTAAGGTT